ACGTACTCTCTCCTGGCTAAATGGCAGCTGCCTCCCCTGCTTACTCTTTCTCATAAATTTGATACACTTCTTTGCACTTCCAAAGGCAGATAAATCACATCTGGGAGTCCCAAAGCCACTGAAGAAGAGTTTCCTATCTGCTCTCTGATAACATGGCAGATTAAACTACCTGTTCCTGTCTCATTCATAGCTCTCCTGGCAGCTTGGGCTGTTGACGGGGCAGCAGCTGCAGAGTTTGCTATCCCTCAAACAGTCTTGGGAAGCCAGTCACCACCCTCTCAGCAGGAGAAAGGGCAACATCTGCCCTTCTGCATCATCTTAGCCATGTGCAAGCCAGACCACCACCCTGAGGTGTGGAGTTGCCCCTAAAGGCCTGTTACACTCCCACTAGCTGCAGTTGTTGCCTGAGGAATTGTTCCCACGGATGTTGCTGTTGCATAAGGTGAACACAGTGTCAGCCTGTGGCTGTAGGAACTCCATCTCTGCAGCCAAAAAAACCTAACTGGCCTTGGGTGCAGGAGGCAAGACCAAGCATTTCTGGTGCTGCTGCCACAGGACAGAAAACACAGTGTTGTCTCCAGCGGTAATACTTCCTCTAGCTGGCCCAGCTCCATGGTGGAGCAATCAGAGAGTAATTAATGCCAAGCACAATCCCTATGCTCACCTCTCAGCTTCTGTTCCTCTCACAGGTAGTAGCCTTCCCTACCTGAACCTTTACAGCAGAGGCACCTGTCTGGGATGGAGCTTCATGCACTGATGTCCGGAGCATGCTTATGGCCTGACAGGAGACCTTGAAAGCAGACTGGTGACCCAGATGGGTGGCCTGAAACTTGATGAGCCAACTCCGGCCTGGCCTTTCTGCCGCTTTCCTCCCTCTGATGCCTTCAGCAACCCAGCAGACCAAAAAACAGCCAAGGTAAAACAGACAGAGTGAAATGCAAGGAGCAGCACATGCCACACATCTTGCCCTGTATCACTCCAGGTCTCAGGAGTAGAGGGAAGGCTTGAAAAACTCAGACACGTCATTACAAACAAGACTTCATTACAAACAAGACAAAGATTTATTTCCATTTCAAGAGAAGTAGAAGAGTAAATACAAAAAAAATCTCTGATATAGGATATAATATTCTCCTAGGCTGTACAACCCACCTCTTTTTCAAAGTCTGCCCAGGGCCTGACTGTACCAGAACTTGTGCAGAACAGAAACCAAGAAAGATGCTCTGTCCTTTGAGAAAGGAGGACTTTCAAAGCCCTTCTCTCTTCTTGTCAGTCCTCACAGTTAAGAGTTTCCTACAGGTTTACAATCCAAATTTATTGGATTCTTCTCCCAGAAATCAAAGTATTAGTTTGAAACTTAGACTAACTTTGCTAAAATGAAGGCCCTCATAATATTTACAATAAAACTTCCAGAAATCAAAATTTTTCCTCATTCCTGATGGTGCCTAAGAATTACAAGCAAAGTGCCAGCCAAAAATACATTGAGATCCAAACGTTTAAGATATCCCCATGGCACAAGAGTACATTGAGATCCAGTTGTCTAACATATCCCCTTGGCATATCCCCATATCCTCATAGAGAGACCCAACCCCATGGCTCCCCAGGTACACAACAAGCTTATTTTCCTCCGTCAGTGGCTGTGCCACCGCATGACACACACAGGTACACACACAAGCACAGGGTCAGCACACCCCACTGCCACAAGGCAGAGCATGGACAGACCCCACAGAGCAGCACACCCTTTTGTGTCTGAGCCTACACGACAATTCAGGAAGGTTGCAATAGCCACAAAAACACAGCAGTGCTGCTGGGAAGGGATCTCTGGAGTCTTCAGGCCTGCTGCAAGAGGGAGGCTCGAGCACTGCCAGCAAAAGGCAGGAATAGCTTTGTCTGTTTTCACCTTGAAAACCACAAAGAACAGATCCCACACAGATGTAGAGTCCCTTGAGCAGTCCTTGTAGCTCTTGGTGGTTTCACCCAGGGTTTCCAGCTGTTTCTGACAGAACTTTAAGCAGTTTTTGGCCATGTCTCAGGTTCTTGATGCAACCGGCTCATCACTGCACCTGCTGCAAAAAGGTGCCTCCTACATATGCCTGGTTTCTCTAGGTAGGTGTAAAAGTTCTGCAGAGAAACAAGAACAAGCATCTAGATCTTATCTGCAAACTACCCAATTTGTGCATTCTGAGTCATCAAGATCTATCAAGCATGTTCTCAAGACATCAAGTTTTGTCCCTTGAACTGCCTGCAGATGCTACCTGAGGTCAGAAGTGGCTTACACAAGACCTGTATCAACACTGGTGACCTCTTTTTTTTAGACTGAACTTTAGACCAGCACTACAGCTGGGGCAGAGAACAAAACTAGGTTGAAGTAAAGAGGAACAAGGGCCAGAGAAGACCTCTAGGATCAGGAAAATTATCTGATCCACATTAATAACTGCTCCTACAGGAAGGAAAGAAACCATTAAAAGTCAGGACAGTTCTTCTCCCAGATACTCCCAAACCATTAAGAGGACAGCATGACTTGCTGGCAAAGGGACACAGTCCAGTCCTTGCAGGCAGTGAAAAGCAGAGAGGCAGCAGGCAGCTGTCAAAAAAAGTGGAAGCTGGCACAGCTAGATGTACAGCTCCTCTTCCAGATGGTGATGGGAGAAGATGGGAGAGGAGCTAGCATGGCTGCTGAGAAGACCTGCCCCAGGATGAGGCAGCCAAGCTGCAGACAAGACTGCTCTCTCCAGGATGAAGCAGCTTCTGGATGTGCCAGGACCAGGAAGGACATTGAAAGATAAAACACAGCTCTTCAGAAGGGAAAGGAAAGGAAAAATCTGATTCACCTCACCACAACAAAGATTTGAAGGGTGCCTACACTTGTTGTCTGTACTCCCCCACTGGGGGCAATGCAACCTCCTCAGCTCCATGTGAGCAGTTTCTTGTGGTACCACAGACAGGTCTAGATGGACAAGGGGCAGAAATATCAGGACAGGCCCAGCCTCCCAGCCCATGGGGTAGCTCACCACCACACGCCACCTTTAGCACTCTGAGGCCTTGAATTCAGGACTCATCTCTTACCTCAGAGCCGCATGGAAGACAGGTGTACAACTTCTCCTGTCCACCTACTGCAAAGGGCTCTAGACTTCTCTGTGCCAAACTGTGCTGTGGGGACACTCAACCACATTCCTGCTCCACTCCATTTCCTCTCTCTTATGTCCCACCTGGATACTTGGACCATAGCAGGCAGAGAAGGCAAGGAAGTTGTCTCTATACAAATTTCATCCTGCTGAGGACCTCATCTGAAAAATGCTCGGTGGAGCAGAAGGTACAGGTGTCTTCATGGGATCAAGAGCTCTTTGCATCAGTGCATAGCTGCAGGCCAAGAGACAGTGGACATGAAATGCAACTACAGAGGTGAATGAATGGATGGATACAAGGAGAAACTTCTCCCCCATAGGGACAGACAAGTTGCCCAAAGAGACTGTGCTGTGTCTCTATTCTTTGTAGGTGACCAGAACTCAACTAGACAGGCTGAAGCAACCAGGTTTGAGTAATTGCTGACCTCAATTTCAGCACAAGGTTGGAGCAGAAACTTCTAGCCTGAGTTATTCGTAAGTTATGCATATGATCTGTACCCTTCTCTGGTGAGAGACCCTGGCGTATGTGTACCCTCTCTGTTCTTCCAAAACTCTTGCTGATGCTCTGGCTGCACTTTCCACCTCCCTTTCCCCATGCAAGGCCCCACCACACTGCAGGATCTTCTCACCAACCTCTTCCCAGCTCTGGTTACACAGGCTCTCCACTTCCACAGGAAAAAGGAGCTGTGTAAGCAGACCTGGACAGCAGGGCTATGTCAGCTCCCTCTCCATCCACAGCCCCAGGCAGAGCCCTGGGCAAACACCACTGCTCTGGGCCCCTTCCAAGGGTAGTGGAATCTGTTGGGAGGGGTTTGCTTGAGTTTCCCCATGAATCTCTTTTCAAGCCTTTGCCTCTTATAGATGTTCCTATTGGGTTTTCCCTCCCCACGTCTTCTTCGGGTCTCTCTTCCAGCCTAGGAAAGCTTGAAAGTGGAGCAATTGAAGATGAAAAGACATCATGTCCTGCCTCTTGTGTTTCAGGAAAGAGTTTTCCCCCACAGATGCCAATTTCTCTAGGCTACAGACAGAGCTGGGCTCATCTTAGGATCAAAGTGATTTAGGATATGAGTACCTCCATAGACTTCAGGACCAAGTCTCCACTCAAAGCAGGTCCAAATTTAATGCTGGATCCAACTCTGGAGAGAGATCAGACTGTCCAACCAAGTTGGAAAGCCCTCCAAGGGCAGAGGTCCCACAGCCTGGCTGTGTACCTCTTCCAGGGGCTGGGCGTGCTCACGGTAGAAGATTTTATAGTTCCAATCCCACCACCCTCCCACCCCTGCAGCACAGAGCATGACCCCTGGAGGGATCTGACTTACTGCCTCTGCCTGCAACCCCAGCATCCAAATCCTCTCCAGCCCTGGCCACCTTGCTGGTGCAAAGCCTGGCACTAACACAGTAGCCACCACATCAGTGCCTCGCATCCTACTTTTATGGATTTGCCTGCACGAGGCCGGGGAACACCTGCTCCTGCCTCCCTCCTACCCTGCACCAACAGACATCTTGTTCTGTAAATAAAAAGATCATCAGCAGAGATATTTTTAAAAGTGAGATCTTCCCAGGTAGACCAGGAGGGGCCCTGCCAGAGTGTGCCGGGAGAGTGAGAACCCGGCAGAAAGCTTTGATCACCTGCCCCAGGAAAGGCTGTAAAAGAGGAATGGTCTGTTGGCCACATTCAGGCACTTGGGAATCCCTACAGCTTTTTCTAGCAAGAGTGGACAGGGATGGGCAGGGCACCCCAGGTCTCTGACAGCGACACTCCTCGCCAGAAGGCTCGAGCAGATGGCATCTTCCCGGGGTGCAGACGTGCTGGGCGAGCCCCGCAGCCCGCCTTTTCCTGAGCTCTGCTCCGCGCTGTCGGGCGTCTCCTGGGACGGGTCAGAGCGCCGGGACGAACCTGTCGGGGCCGCCGGGGTATGCGCCGTGCCGGGGTCCGGGCTCAGCGGTGCCCAGGTGTCCTCCGGCGCCGTAGCCGTGGGGCAGGGGCGGGAAGGGCGCGGGGGAGCGGCGGCCGTAGAGCCCGGCGGGGGCAGGCGGCGAGGCGGGCAGCACGATGCGCCCCGACGGCGCGTACAGCGGTCCGTGACCTGCCGGCGCGTAGGGCCCGGGGGCGGTGGGCAGCGGGCCGTAGGCGTGGGGCAGGGCGGCGGAGGCGCAGCCCTGCGCGGGGAAGGCGGCGGCGAAGGCGCAGGAGGCGGCGGGAGCTGGGGGCAGGTCGGCGGGGGGCGGCGGGGCGGGCAGCGGGAGGAGGCGGCAGGGAGCGTCGGGGCGCTCGGCGAGGAAAGCCGGGTAGGTGGAGAGGTCGCTGCGTTTGAAGCGTTTTCTGCGGCGGAGGAAAGACCCGCTCTCGAACATATCGCGGGCGTGGGGGTCCAGCGTCCAGTAGTTGCCCTTGCCGGGGCGGCCGGGTTCCCTTGGCACCTTGACGAAGCAGTCATTGAGGGTGAGGTTGTGGCGAATGCTGTTCTGCCACTTGCGGGGGCTGTCGCGGTAGAAGGGGAAGCGCTCGGTGATGAAGCGGTAGATGCCGCCCAGCGTCAGTCGCCGCTCGGGCGCCTGCCCGATGGCCATGGCGATGAGGGCGATGTAGCTGTACGGAGGCTTGCCCCGCTCCGCCGGGCGCTTGCGGCGCCGCCGCCCGCCCCGCGACCCCGCCGCCACCGCCGCCACCGCCGCCGCCTCCTCTCCCGGCGGCGCCGCGTCCGCCTTCAGCGGCGGGGGCAGCGGCGGGGGGCCGGGCGGCAGCCGGCTCTCGGCGGTCATGAGGCCGTCGGGGCGGCCCCGCGCCGGGCCGGACCGAGCCGAGCCGAGCCCAGCCGAGCGGGCAAAGCGCGGCGCCGCCGCGGCTTTTATGCGGCGGTGTCCGGCGGCTCCGCGCCCGGGCGGCCGGCACTCCCCCTGCTACGCCCCGCCGCCCGGGAGGCGCGGGCAGGGCCGGGCGTGCCGCCGCCGCCGCCGCGGGTGGGAGCAGCGCCCTGCCCGGCACCCCCCGCCCGCCCCCTCTGCTCGGCCCCGTCCCCAGCGCCGTCGGGGCTCCGCTGTCCCGCCGCCGTCGGGAGCGCACAGCACCGGGGGACCGGAGCGCACCGAGAGCGGTGGGGGCGGCTCCGTGAGCGCGGTGCAGGTGTCTGGGCACGGGCACTGTCCGCGCGTCCCCGCGGGGCTCGGAGCCGTCGGGGTCGGCTCAGCTGGCGGCCGCGGGAAGAGCCGAGGTGCGGTGAGCGGCCGCCGCTGTCAGAGGAGATGCTTGCAGCCGATCCGTGGCGTGGGGCAGGCGGCTCCGGGCAGTGACGCCCAGGCAACCCCACGCTGCTTTGCGGAAATCAAGCGGTCCAAACGAATTAAACGAGCAAAAAACCACATAGTGACAGATCTACTTGGGAGAGATATAGTAACTATGGGTTTTGGCGTCGTATTATGCGTGCACAGCTGCTATGAAGAATGCATTGAGACTGGTCCCCAGCAACCACTTGGTACAGGGCTGGGCTCCCGTGCAACTGGCTTACCCCTGATCTGACCTGCTTGTCCCCCATCCTTGTGCTACAGGACCTCACAGGTACATGATCCAACCAGGAAGGATGCCAGGCTCTCCAGGGGTGGCTGCTGGGGCATACTTACCTGCCAGCTCCCTCATGTTTGCTCAGATACTTGGGGCTGAAGGTCAGACTGCAGCTGAGAGTGCCAGCTGTAAGGAATGCTTGCCCAGGACTTGAACTCCTGTGGCCCAGACCTACAGGCCTGGGGACAGCACAGCCTCCTCACCTGCTAGCATGGTGATCCCTTTGAGGCAGAATATAAAGGAGATGGCAGGAGGTCCTAGAGGTGGGATGGCACGTGTGTGCAGGTGTGCACAGGGATGTGTGTGCATGGAAGGGTGAGCATGCACAAGCACATGGGTATACAGTGGCACTGGTATGGGGTTTAGCACGTGAATGAGAGTTCATGATGGCATGTTGACAGGTGAGTATGCACAGAAACAAATGGCAGCAGACACAGGTGTGTGGCTGGACCTGAGGCTTGCATGTGGACATGTAGGCAGAAACAGATGTGGGCAGATGTGTGTGCAGAGAGGTGGATGTGCCTAGGTGTGCAGGTGCTGTGCATGGGTGTACAGCTGATCCCACCCACGTCTTGGTGTCTCCTCCAGTTCTTCCAGAACTCAGATCACCAGTGCACTGCTGAGTCTACATCTCTCTGGGAAAAGCTTTCCCAAAGCCCTCTTGGTCATTGCAAAAATGATGTTTAAGGGAGCAAGGGAAGGTGGGAGATGTTCATCCTAGTGAAACGCAGCTCTTTTGGAAGTTTCCAACACAGTTGCTTGGGGAAAAATCAGTGTGTGTGTGACGCTCCGTTTCAATGCAGCAAACAAACACCAGCCCTGGTTTCTAGCTAAATAAGGAAACCCAGAGTCACTGGCCACTTGCTTTTTGTGTGGCATCCCAGCAACTTGGGAGGCAGCAGAATAAACTATGGAGCTAGCAGAATAAACCATGAAGTGGCACTTGCTGAGGACTCACACGTGCAGTCCCAGTATCTGGATGCAGACGTGGGGCAGTTTTTCAAACCGCATGCTTCAGAGTTTGTGCCAAAAGAAAAATCAACCTCCTGTACTGACACCCATGTTCTTGAAGTACACAGAAGACTGGGGTCGTGTTACCCTGTAGGAACCAAAAACCTGACTCCGTCAGCATGAGAGGAGAGTAGTGAAGCTGCCCTGCCAGTAATGTTCTGCCTTCTGACTCATGGGGAGCTGTAGTTGGGAATGGATTTTCCTATCAGATGTTCCAAAGGCAGTGCAGTAGTTCAGTCACCTCTGGGGCTGTGTCTCTCTGTGCCATGCCAATTCCATGCCTCCAGAGGGCAAAGTCAGATCGTGCTTCGCTTTGCACTTGTAGAGGATGGGGAGTGAAAGAGGTGTGTGCTGAGAAGGGTTGGTGTGCTTAACAGCTGCTTTTGCCCTCACAGCTGGTGATGAAAATCCTTTTCCAAGTAAGCACTTTCCTTGGCAGGGCCCAAAGCAGAGTGAAATCAATACCCAAACAGCATGTGCTGGCTCTTGTTGCTTCTCATTTCCTCGTCACTCAGATTAAGCTGTGGTGCCAGTGCTTGTGGGTGAAGTGGGAGTTGTATAACGTGGTGGCCTGGAGACTATCCTCAGTTTGATATTATCAAAAGCCTGTTTAAAAACATTTTCAACTCTCCACTCTGGGAGCAGGAGTATGTCCCATTTTAAGCACTGCTGTCTCTTTTGAGTGCCAGTTCCCATGGGGACCGAACTACGGACAACACAAAACTCAGAGTCACCCAGGTGGATCTTAGGCTGCAGATCTCCTCCACCTGTAAGTCAAGTGGTGCCTGTCGCTGGAGCAGAACAGTTGGTGCTTTTCATGTTTGTGAAACATTATGTTTTCTCTTTTGATTCAGCAGTGTTGGAGGAGGTACAAAGATAAGTAACATGGTAAATGCACTGATTAAACCTTTGGAGTTCATAATGCAATAGAAAGTGTATGATATCTACATAGTATTACCCACACAAAAGTTGTGGCTTAAACTTTCTTCTAGTCTCTGCAACAAGGTTTAAAATCAGCATTTTGTCTGTCTGTGGCCCAGGAACAGCAGGGCTGTATTTAACTGCTCCAAGTCAAGGATCCAGCAGTCACAGACTGAGATCATATTGGCTGAATGCAAATCAAGTGAGAGTGTGCACCCATGGCACTGCCTGCACCCCAAGCTCAGCTGCCTCTGAGATGGAATGTCAAGTCTGGGCTTTTATTGGCTCTGTGTTGGTGCAAGGACTTTGCTGTTAGAAATGTGGAGAGCATCACAGCCAGACACTTCCTGACACTTTGCGACAAAGTGCCCTACCTGCATCTCATGGTTGAGATCTGTAGGTGGACCATAAGCCTGAGCCTTTGCAATTAAACAGGTAATGGCATGTCATCCATCCTTCACTTTCAGAGCACATGCCACAAAGAAATAACCAAAGTCACTGAGCTTAAGATGTTTTATACCTGACTGGAGTTAGTGGGAGACAAGAGCAGGATTGCATGGATTTTGGAAACACTTTATTGCCAGATTTTGGCATAGGGACCAAGGTGAAACCTCGGATGGGGAACTGATGTGCAGCTGCACATGGAATAAGGCCCTGTGGCAGAAGAGAGGCTGCAGGGGAGAAAGAAGTGCTTGCGGAGGGAATCGTGGCTGTAACCAGGTTCATGAGAGAGGCTTGAGTTAGCAGCTGTGCCCATTCTTCTGGAGAAAAAAACCCATCACTGTGGTTTTAAAATAGGTCGTGTCTCAGGCCCAAATTTGGGGCATAGGGAGCCTTAGCCTTCATCCGGCATGGTTCCACCTGGGTAGGCCACTCAGCAGTCCTGACAGCCCAGCAGGCTGCCCAGCTCATGGAGGGCAGAGAGGATCCACAGAGGGTGAGCTGTGTCGGGCAGAGCAGGGTGTCTCAGAGCAGAACATCACCTCTGACCATTCCCCTGGGACCCTGCCCCATTGGGGGAATTCAGTGTGAGTGTAATGGCAAAAGTACTGGCACGGGTGATGTGCATGGTTGGTGCTGTGGGGTGACAGTAGCGCTGAACTAGAACGGAGTGGCTGACACAAGAAGAGGCAAAGCCTCAACCTAAAGAGACCTCCAGAAATGAGAGCACTGGACTTCTAGAAAGCTCACAGAGCCCAGCCAAAGAAACATGCCAGTAGTGCGCCGGGGTAGGACAGCCCTGTGCGTCCATCCCAGCTGGGAAGTGACTGGCGAAGTCGGACCCTGCTGCGGAGGATCTGGTGAACACTGTGCATGAGGCTGAATGTGGTCCAGGAGTGTCTCTTGCTGCAAATGAGGTACACGCTGTACTGGGTTTCACGAGGCACAGCTTGTCAGGCAAACCTAGGTGTGTGCCAGCACTGCCTAAACAGTTAAACACGCAATTTAGCTAAAGACATGGAGCCACAAAACAAAGCAGCAGAAAACACCACGTGTGATGTAGGCAGCAAGGAGCAGACACCTTCTTGGTAGAAGCTGAGTGGATCCAGACTGAGCTGGACGGGCCATGACACATTGATTTGTCCTCCTGCCGAAGTGTATTTTAGAGCAGATTTCCAAGAGAATAGTTTGCCCATTCTTGCCTTTGCACCACCAAGAAATCAGTGGGAGTAGTGCAGATCTGTCAGATGCTTTTAAAAGGTAGGAGCTGGCTTTTTCTGGAAACATGCAAAGCAGAGTCAGGCTCTCTTCTGTAAGCTCAAAATCACTAGCTGGGGGAGGATGGGATTTTTGTTTGGTTTGGTTGGGGTTTTTTTGGTTTTTTATTGGTTTGGTTTGGTTTGGTTTGGTTTGGTTTGGTTTGGGGGTTCTTTGTGTTTTTTGGGGGGGGAGGTTGTTTGTTTGTTTTGGGGGTTGTTTTTTGGTGTGCAGGTGTTACAAACTCTGCATGGTTCTTGCTCCCCTAAAGCCCGTGAATTTCAACACCTCATGAAAATCTTCCGGATAGGTATCTTTGAATAGCCATCAGACACTGCTGGCATGAAAATAAGTTCTTTCTATTTTGCCTATCAAATGCCCTATTTGGGCAGTCATTCAACCGTTTTGAGAGTTTTAATCTCTGGCAGGATGAACATCTCCTACTCAGGTGCCCTGCTGCGACCCATCTCCTCTGCTGGCTCATAACTGGAATCACTGGTGTCTGACAAAAACTCTACAGGGCACTCATGGGGTCAGAAAGACCCTGAGGCTTGTGGACAAGAAGTGTCACCTG